CTAAAAATTGATATTGATTTTAATAATTATCTATAAATTTATTTATGTTGTAAAAAAATTGAAATTAATAATATTTTTATATTTTTATATAAATTAATATTAAAAAATTACAATAAATGTATTATCAGCTAAGAAAATCATTAAATTTATAATCAATTAAAATTAATTTAATCATAATAAATTAATATTTTATATAATGTCGTTTTTATTTAGATGACATATAATGTTGTCTTAAGAAGCACAGTGAGAAACAACCAAAAACTTTTATAATTTCAAAATATTTTAATTATTTAATCATAAAATCTTTTATATTTTTTAAATTATTATAGTACTAAAAGTTTAAATATATTAAGTACTGACAATAAAAAATCATAAATTATATTTAAACATATTTATTTATAGTTATAATTTAAAATATATAACTAATTTATGTTATTTTTTTCAATCTTATCAAATTTATAAGTTATTTTATATTTAAATTAAATAAATAATAATTCATATAAATTTTAATTTTAAATCGAGCTATTCACATGTATGTAACTCATGAATAATTATGAAAACTTGAGTTTAAACTTAATTTTTTATTGCACTTGATCCTTCGAACCAAGCGGTCTTAGAATTGCCTTGCAGTGCATTTCCCCTCTCCCTTATGGTGGGTTCGATACCCACCCTTGTAAACTTGGTCAAAAAAAAAAAAATTATTTTTTTATCATACTTGATATTTAGTTTGAGTTTGACTTGTTTATCAAATGAATAAAGTTTTAATTTATCTTAATTTAAATAATTCAGAAATTATTTATGAATTATTTTATTTATTAACAACCCTAATGAAAAATAAATTTTTTTAAAAAATTAATATTGTTAAATAAAAAATAAAAAATTAATATTTTTATTTATATATTTTTTCTACTTAAGCTTGAGTGGATGTTTCTCTTGGAAACAGCAGATAGGAGAGAATATTACGGAGCGGGCATTTGCATTTTAATGCCCTTGAGTTGGCATCCCAAAGCGACGGAGACGGATTGGGAATTCTCCACCCAATTTGGGATTACGTGATGAAATATTAAATTGCTTTTCCGTTTCTTAATTTTCAGGGGGCTAATTGTTAGTAGGACAGTAATTGCCAATTTTTTACACTTCAGACTACATTTCTTCTTAAGGATTTTAAAGACAGACTATAAATTAGTTTAAAGCATTTTTAAAAAATTAATTTGAATTTTTTTAATTTTACCTTTAAACCATAAGTTAATAAATTTTTTTTGAATCAATTTTTTAATATTTAAAATTTATATTTATCTTAATTAATTTAGAGACAAAATACATTATGAGTACATTTTATTAAATTTGAGCCGTCAGATGATGTGGTCCTGGTATGATCGCAGCTCCGACGCGATCAAAATCTCAAGCGGATAAAAGCCTCACCTTGTGTGGGGGAAAGTATTCGATGTTTGGATATGATTATGTATGCGGCCGATACTACAGCAAATCACAACTCAGAAATTTGGAAATAAATAAATACGCGTG